CTCTTTCTCTCCGTCTCCCTCTCTCCACATCCAATAGGAAGACGTCGACTCGGAGCTTCCATTCATCCTAGACCTCTTGACCGCCTTCAAGATGCATACAGGCAAGTGTCCCTACAAGGACTAACGCAGTATCATCCTGCATCGCTGCACATGTACTCGCACACATTCGGCGTACACTGAAGCTGTGCCATTGGCCCCATCATGGGCTCGGCCGACTCGTGCCAGCCTCTTCAGCGGACGAAGCAGACGTGCCCAATGCTACTTGTATGCGCTGGCCTCGGCAGACTCGTCCAAGCCCAAAGGCCCTATGTACGATTAATTGAATGCCTTTCCGCCTTTTTGGCTTGTCTGCTGTCTCTTGCTTGGGCCTCACCTGACACGCCCCTCTCTCTTCACTTGGGTGTCTACTCTCACAGGGCGAGTTATGATGGACAGAGTCTCGTAAGGAAGAGAGAGAAGTACACTCTCTTGAAGCTCAACACACTACAGTTGTATACCCGCCAATATCCTCACTATCACTCTTCCTCGAGCAAGACAGCTTACGAGTACTATCTCTCCAGTGTCCCCCATACCCACCTACCTACCGACCCAGTTCCGTCCGTACATCGACATGTATGCACTGCAAACTCAACTTACATGACCAAACTCGGTTCCCTTGCCGCCCCTTGTCCGGGTTCCTATTTTCCACCTGACAATTCCCAATGTGCTCCCACCAACCTGCAAGTACAAGCAACATCCACATCAACACGTCGTACGTGTCAAAGCCCCGTCCGACAAAGTGTACGTACATGCGTCCTGCATCTTCCTCCAGCCACAGCTATTCTGCTTCTTGCTCTCTCTCACCGCAGTTGAAGAGTAATACCCTTGTCGAAAGAAACAACGTCCACTTTCCCCGAGCCCGCTACAGACTGTTACTCGCATGCCCAACCCGTTCTTTGCTTGCTTCGGCTGCTTTTCTTCATCTCTTTTCGGCCATGATTCTGGTTCTTCGGTGCAGTAGACTGTTGAACTTCTCAATCTGCATCATCCTCCTGCTTACATATTGGTATCCTGCTTGAAGTACATACTTTGGGTTGTTAAAGGCATCGTTATGCTCGAATTATGCCATAAGGGCCTTCCCGCCTTGTTCACTTGCGTAGTCCGGCTTGATTCCTTCAAAGGCTAGGAAAGCAGCCCATTATCAACGCATCAACACCCTCCAGGCATACGTATAGGGGTGCAGCATATCAAGTACGAAGTCTCCAAGTTCAGCCAAGACAAGGCGAATGGCATAAAGACAAGGCGAATGGCATAACGACAAGGCGAATGGCATAACGACAAGGGGCTGTCCATGTAGGATCACTGCTCGTCAGTTCACTATGGAGTCCTACGGAGCTCCTCCGACATGAATGCGTTGTCAGATATGCATTCCACCCAAGAGTCCAGATGTCTCGCTGTCCGCCATGATCCAAACCGGCCCCCGAACTGGTAATCCAGCTTCAATGAGCTCTCAACTTGGCTAAATGTTCAAGTGTCTTTTGTTCGCCAGCTCTTCAGTAACCCTCAAGTTGTTTCAATCGTAGCTATAGCACTATTATACATACTTAGTAGGTAAGTTGGAGTAGGATAGACAGGCATGGGCATTAGTGATTCAATGTAAAAAAGGATGACAACTCCCCAAAGATTACATACCCTTTACCACTACTAGGCTAGAAACAAAACGTCTGGACTTCCAGAACACAAACGTCCCCTTGAGCTTTGATAGCTGTTCACATCATATGCATGCTAAGCTTTGAGCTGGCGAGCCACACCTGTTGCCATATGGTGGGCAAGGTGACCTTGTTAGCCCAGGTGTGACTGGCCGGATGGGCTGTTTCTTGCAGATCTGATGGCTTTACGCAGGTGATATATGCTTGTCTCTTGTCGCTTTTGGGCTACTCCCTGTAGGTGAGATTTCTGCGAAGATCACAAATGCCCGAGTCGGTATCAAATCTCCAGATAACGTCTGCAGTATGTCTACATAATGTTGCATCAGCATTAGTTGCCATTTCTTCACGCTTGATAGTTCACTGCACCTTTATAGTACATCTCATAACTTGGAAGGGTCTGCACATCTCGTGGCAGAGGCCAAATGAACGCAGGTATGGTGGTACGAAAAAGGTGTCTTTAATATGAAAAAAGTCTAGCTAGGTTAGGTTTTGCCACAGCTCCCTGCGGCGACGCCCCAAATAATCTACCACCGACGAGGTATCAAGGTCATGTCCTTGCCCTCTCCTACCGAGCTCCCGTAAGCTCGGATATCTCCTTTCCTTTATCATAAACGGTCATTCCAGCTGCCGATGGCTTCTCTCCTCGTAATCCGGGATATCCCAGCATCATCAAACAAAGCACTTTTCGCCGCCGTCGAATCGTTTACAGATCGTCGTCAGACAGCTCACCGGGCAGCGGCAGAGCGGCGGCATCGTCCATCTCCTTCTTGTACTGGGCCAGGAGGGCCTCGTCAACCTGGGCGGTGGGAGGAGCCAAGGCAGGGGCGGCAACGAACTCCTACAACAGCCAGTCAGCGCAATGTTACAGGACACATCAGGTTTGGCTCGGAGTGGGAGTACTAACCAGAGCGGGGTTGCCAACGAGCTTGCGGGCCAGCCACAGGAAAGGCTTCTCGAAGTTGTAGTTGGACTTGGCGGAGATGTCGTAGTACTGGAGGTTCTTCTTTCGGTGGAAGGTGATGGTCTTGGCCTTGACCTTTCGCTCCTTGACGTCGACCTTGTTGCCGCAGAGGACGATGGGGATGTTCTCGCAAACGCGGACAAGATCACCTGTATGCCATGTGTTTAGTAACGCCACTCGTATGAAATGGGTAAAGCGTGCAACTTACGATGCCAGTTGGGGACGTTCTTGTAAGTGATACGGGATGTCACATCGAACATGATGATACCGCACTGGCCGTTGATGTAGTAACCATCACGGAGACCACCGAACTTCTCCTGACCGGCGGTATCCCACACGTCGAACTGGATCTGACCGTAGTTCTGGCAGCAAGTCAGTATGCCGAGCGCGTCATCAATAGCGGGCGGTGTGTATCAAGACTCACGGTGGTGAAGCCCAGGGGGTGAACCTCGACACCGAGGGTGGCCATGTACTTCTTCTCGAATTCACCAGTCAAGTGGCGCTTGACGAAGGTGGTCTATTGCATCAAGGATGTGTCAGCGAGAGGTCGACGTCGACGCGAAGGCATATATCGCCAGAGGGGAGGTGAGAAAAAATCATCGTTCGCCACGTCAGGCGGGAGCGTCGTCGTCTTCGAAGCCGATCCCGTTTGCATGCAGCGCCGATTGATATCCAGCGACCAAGGAATCACACACCTTGCCGGTACCACCGTCGCCGACAAGCACAAGCTTGAAAGTAGGAGTCTGCTGTTGCTCAGCCATTCTGACGGCTCGAGGTGATTAGCGACGAGCGTGAGGTGATGTAAACAGGCGGGGTCCTGCGAGATGGCGTTAGTCTGGCTGATTTCGAATCCTGAGCCCAAGCAACGGCGTGGCTGGTGGTGCATATGAACCTGTAGCAGCAGGCAGCTCGCAGCGAGGAACAGAAGAGGGATTCTGCAAGAGACGACTGGAGGCGGCCAGCACGAGACAGGAGCAATAGGTCGGGCACGGCACATACCTTGTGGATTTTTGGACGCGAGGGTGTGGACGTCGAAAAGTTGCTCCGGACGGTCTTTGACCTGCTGAGTTCTTTTGAAGGCGGCGGGGAATCTGGACTGGAGACAAGGGAGCAAAAGGCAAGCCTCTCATCATCAAGCGAAAAATTCAGTCGCCAGGGGTGGGCTGCCCGCACGTGACATCACCGCCCTCGACATCACCGCCCTCGTCTCCGCTACCTGCCCGCGACCTGAGTCGAGCGCGCCGCCCTGCCTAGTTCTGCGCGTCTGTGCCCAGAGCCGGAGGTCCTGCCAAGTACCGCGCCAGCCGGGGAGGCGAGAATGACGGGCAGTAAAACGGACGTGAAGCTCGTTGCAGGGCAGCTTGCGCTTATACCGCCTGCCCGTTTCGGCTCTGCATGGCCAGCTGGGCCCATCCTCTCTTCTGGCTTCTTCTCCGTCCTTCGTAGCGCAAACCTGCTTTTGTCTGCTCCGGGCAGAAGATGTGTTTGTACCTATGCAGAGCTGCTGCAAGCGCCGAGGTGCAATGTCTCAGCCCAACGAATGTGCGGTGTACGAAATGCTACGGCCAGGAAGCGTGTTGCTACCTGATGTATGAGGTAGACACAAAGTAGATACATTGTTACTTCATTCAGAGTTCGTTGATAAAACAACGTGGAGGGAGCGTTTGCTCCAAAATGTCTCAATTTCATAAGAAGCACGAATATACTGTACTACTACTACCGTATAGTGTTCTTATGCCACGTGCCGATGAAGCTTTGAATAGGTACCTGAACGAAGATGCAATCCTATCACCTTGAGATTGCCTACAGATGGGTATCTTACTGAGATCGCATTCTGATCACCTAAAAGGCTGTAGCTGCATGATATGACGTCTTTACCCATAGTCCCATCTTGACCACGGGTCGAGGCTTCAGGAAGCCACTGCGTGCAGGGTAAGACTGCCATCGTAGCACTACTAAGTAGATACTTACTATAACATGGCTCGACATCCTTCTCACGATCCCTTCGTTTAGGTCTTTTCAGCTGTCCGGCTTCCAGATTTCAGGTTCCGACACGATGCCATGACGCAACCGTCCTCGGCGTTGCCGCGGCTCTGCCATCGCCTGCCTGATGCCCAACTCAACCCACTCGACATGCCGTGCTCATTCTCAAGCTCAAGATGCCGTGGGCTGATACACCGTCTTCTGCCTTTGATGACGCCGGACAGGTGCCTAAACGCTCGATGAAACACAACAGGACCACGATTCGTCAGCGTGCACTCGGCGTTATCTGGCGGCATTTCCCTGAGGCGTGACCCAACTGCCCATCACAGCTCTGCCGAGTGGCACAATTCTTCGATAGTGACAACGGACTATAGAGGCAAGATGTGGCAGCCCAGCATTCCTCTTCCGCCCCAGTCTTTCCTGGGGACCAGAGTTAATCTCAGCTCCTGCCGACGAGCAACTCCATCAGGTCGAGATACTCGGATGAAAATGTTTCGCTATGCGCCATTGTTAGAAACAAGCAAGTGGGTCAGGGACGACGTGAGACATACCCCTTCGTTACCCATAACACACTCTGCCACCTTCTTGAGACCGTCATGATTCGATCGGTTAACGTAGCCAAAGTTGCGAATCTCATCGCCAGCTTGTAAGCCGGCCTGTTCAGCCGGGCTGCCTGCTGCCACAGTGTTGACCTTTGCAAACGGCTCATCGAGCTGCTCGGTGTGAGAGTCCGGCAAGATACGGAGATCTTCTCCATTTGTGCTTGGAGCTTCATCCCCGTCCTGGACGTTTGCGAAGTGATCGTGGAGATACTTTTCTATGTTCGTCATGAGCTCTTTGTAGTCATTGCGCAAGCGAATGATTCGCGCTCTTGTCGTGCGGACTGCCGGCATATGGTTAGACTTCATTCATGAATCACGCAGTTTCCATGATCTTGTATACTTTGAGCAACGTCGAGATCAGCTCGGGGAAAGCCGTCTCTGGTCAAGAGCGGCGTTTGCATATCAACGCCATGCTAGTATGAGATTAATATTGTATGCAGTTGTGATTCGTATCAGGATAGGCGCGTTCGTACCGAATCCAGCACGCTTCCCAGGGCTTTCAGTTCTGCCTCCATATCGTCCTTCTTCCGCTGGAGCTCCGCAAAGCTCAGCTTGGCCGTGTCGCCGTTCCTCTGGCTGAGATTCGACGTCGGCCCTGAGGGCACAGTTGGTGCGTGAAGAGTGTCCATATTGACAGCTGCCACGCAGGAGGGAGTTTCGAGATGAGAATAGAGGGAAGAAAGATTGAAGCTCAACGGCGATGGCTTTACTCAGCTGGGCGAGATTCGAGCTATGGCCCAGGCGGGCGTCATCACCAACAGCGACCGTCCCGGGGCCTTTTTTGCGGGGTCCAGGAACGGCAGAGGCCTACGCACTCGCTGAAGGCGCCCGACCGGTTCGAGGGGACTTCGAGGGGACTTGTAAGCTACCCGGAGGAGTTGTGCGCAGCTGCTGAAAACTGCTGCAAGAGAGCAGAGCTTGCCCGACTTGGGAGCCTAGCGGCACTTGACAAGCTTGTACTGGACAGGTACTGCTTCAAGCACCGCCTTTTACTGGTCCGTGCGCATTTCTCACCTCCTCCGGCTCTTTTCCCAACTGAGAACCGGCAAGCACAGACGTCACACTGCTAACATAATCCTCCCCGGCTCTTCATTCTGCCAACTTCGCTTCTCTCGTTGACGCGTGCCCGTGAGCTTTTTGTCCCTTCTCCCTTTCAATTCTCGTGACAGAGGCCGCAATGGCATCCGCAGGAGATGCCCGACTTCTCAAGTCGACCAAGTTTCCTCCCGAGTTCAGCCAAAAGGTTGACATGCAAAAGGTCAACCTGCAGGTCATAAAAAAGTTTGTCACCGGCCCCCGACAAGCCTTATCGCGGGTCCCCCGAATTGTAGTACTGACGCCCAACCTCACAGATGGATTGCCAACAGAATATCAGAGATCCTGGGCAATGAAGACGACGTCGTAATTGAGCTGTGCTTCAATCTGATTGACGGACCTAGATATGTACGCTTCAATCTTTCTTCTGTTGCCCCGACTCCATCGATTATCCATACTGACTGTCCGGACACCAGCCCGACATCAAATCGCTACAAATACAACTTACCGGATTTCTAGACAAGGATACCGGCCCGTTCTGCAAGGAGCTCTGGAAGCTGCTGTTGAGCGCACAAGGCAACCCTCAAGGCGTGCCCAAAGAGCTACTGGAAGCCAAGAAGCTTGAGCTTATGCAGGAAAAAGTTCGTACCTCGTCAACCTTTGGAGGAACAACTCCGCTTGGTCCCTTGTTCTGACAGTTCTACTAGATCGAAGCCGACAGAGCCGCTGAGAATGCACGAAAACGTCGCGACGACTTTGACCGTCGGGACCGGGAAGTTGGCGAACTAAAAGATCGAGATCGTCGAGATCGAGCAAACGATAGAGGTGATCGATTTGCACGCCGTGGGGATCGGGCCTCCGAAGGCCGTGGAAGAGGAGGTCATGGCTGGGGTGGGAACAGATCACGTTCGCCCGAGCCTCGGCACCGCGCTTCCGGTGACTCGTATAGGCGGGACAGCTATGTCCCGAGGGCTCGAGGCGGCCGGGGTCGCGACCGTGGCTGGCAGCGGCGACGGAGTCGCTCACCGTCCGAGTCAGCGTCAGACCGATCCCGCTCTCGAAGCAGCAGTTCGTCCCGCAGTGATCGGAGCTCTCGAAGCCCTCCACGCCGCAAAGGACAGTCAGCCCGATATAGAGACTCTAGGAAGAGATCTAGGTCTCCTCGCGGTGATGCCTACCGACCGAGGCGGCATTCACGCAACGGAAGGGACCGCCGAGATGCTCGACGCCGACGTTCACAATCCTCGGAACGCGTCTCACCTCCACCAAAGCGGAGACGGCAATCTGTCTCTCGAAGTCGGTCAGGAGAGCGCAGAAGACGTTATTCAACCTCGCCATCGTCCCGTTCGCGGAGCTCCTCGGGATCTCGCAGCCGCAGCCGCAGCCGCAGCCGTGATCGATCCGCTGATAGCCTTGGGTCAGGTTCTCCCCCACGACGCCCACATGGTCGCCAACGGCGTGATAGTCGCCACCATGAAGAAGATGAAGCCTTAGCAAAGGGCAAGGATTCTGACAGAAAGAGACGCAATAGCTCCTCTGCGCCCTCGTCTCCATCAAACCGTGGCAAATCGGCTGATATTTTGGAAGATGAACCGCGTGCTCCGAACTCTTAGCTATGCTACTTGGCTATCGTCGACCAAGAGGTGTGGTAAGCCCCTGGCCTGAGGGTGGAAAGAGTGGCCACTAGAACTTCTCGCTGACTTTGGCTGAATGGTGCTTGATGAGGCGTAAGGTCACCGCCGCACCAGCATACTTGCTAGCGAGCATTTGCACTATGGGATAAGCAGACGAGAACCTCTGATATAGGCGCCCACATCAATAACTGAGGCTAACTGCTGTTGAATCTCGTCTCTAGGAGAAGTATGTATTGGAAAGCAAAGAAGAAAGCGCATCATCCTTACTGTGAAGAACCGAGACCAACTGAACGGCATCAATGCAATATGCTAAGGCTACCACATCCTATAGTTGCTAATTTCTGCAATTACTGCTCACGCTATGCTTGAATCAATAGAAATAGGTAGAAATGGAATGGCGTTAAGAGCGTATACCTGCTCGGTATTGAATAGTCTCTTAGTGCTTGAACAGGATGATCTGAGATTTGGTGAACTGCTGCTCTTGTGCATCTGCTTAACATGTGCTGCGACTTTTTAGGCTTAGCGCCTTTGGTTTCGATCATGCCCCCCAGCCCGTTTCAGGTTAGGACCCGGTACCTACCAACACGATCAGAGCCGTCGCATGAAAACACCAAAGCTGCATCATCAAGAACACCAGGCGCGACTTCGGTTCCATCCGCCAACTTGACGTCGGCATCACCATCGTATCGATAACCGTCCGAGGCAAAAGCGCTGGCGCATGGCGGACAAGAAGCAAGCAACCACATCCCGACCGAGCGAGGCGCCGCCCACCATGGCGGAATACAAGAAGGCGCAGGCGCGCGTGCGAGACTTGGTCGACCGGCGCAGGCAGCTGGAGCGCCGTCTGGTGAGTTTTATCCCCCTATGTGGCGTGCTTTATGGCGCTCTTTTTGGTTTATTCTCGCCGTGGGTTATGATGCGGAGGGGCTAAACGATGGGGATTGCGCATAGGCTGCGATGGAGGAGAGCATCATCCAGAAGGAATCCGCGTACCTCGACAGCACGCCCAACGGCAACATCATCACGGGCTTCGACAACTACATGAAGGGCACGAGTGGAGCGGCTGCCCAGCGGCGCAAGACGGGTCCCGCCGAGCAGAACCGCGTCTTCTCGCGCTCGTCGATATCATACCGACCGAATAATGGGGTAAGTTTTGGGACTGAGCAAAACGCAAAGTTTCTGGCTATCGGGAGGGGGGGACTCTTCTTATGAGATACTCGGGCGCAGTTTTCTGACATTTTCGTGCTTCGTTTGTCAGGACTCTTCGACTCCGGGATCAGTAGGTTCGACGCCTGCGCCGACGCCGCTTTCGACGACTTTCCGGGATAGCGGATCGAGTGGTCCAACGCCGACGTCGGCGGGCGGGAGCAAGGCGAGCAAGACGAAGAAGAGGGACACGGAAGATAGTGAGAATGACGCGCAGACGAACAAGAAACGGACGAATTTTGGGGCATCAAGGAAGTAAGGATGGGGAAGTTTTGGTAATTGAGATTATTCAACTGGGACAAGGGTCTTTTTTCTTTCTTTGCTGCGGCACTGTAGCCGCGAGAGGAGAGAGTGAAGCGACACATGAAAGGCGTTCCTATGAGGGTCTGGGATTTTAGGTAGGGATACAACATACGGCGTTAGGGCGTCGAGCAATTTGGCAGGAGACTTTGTTTCAGGAGAGATGGAAAGATGGCGGCAATATACCGGAAACATAACGAAGACTGGGCAATGTTCCGCCCAAATACTTACTACTTTGGTACTCTTTGCAAAAATGTATCTCCTAATGTCTTATTGAGAGACATAGTTGCATAGGTAGGTAGTTGCTGTGCTTGGTCGGTGACGGCAACCCATCCTATGGTGGCTCTTCCAACAGGCGTCGAGGGGGAGAAATAACATCACATTCTCTAGTATCTATCTAGTGGACGATCCTGGATCGCGGGCCTGCAGGTTGATAAGTGACAGCACAGCACCGTAGTAGGGGGAGCGAAGTCGAACTTCTAGAATGATAGCTCGGCAGGTTGGCACGTCCTTGAGTAAGGTAGGTAAGGTAATGAACGATCTGTAGGTCCGAAGTCGATGCTGGTCAATCGTCTAAGAAGAGTCAATACTAGTACGCTGCCAGCGGCCTACAAGTAGTAGTATGACCTTCATAAAGTGATGTGGAAATATCTAATAGAGGAGCCAGTTAGCAACATACTTGAATGATTGCCATCTTCTTCACTAGTGATATTGAAAGAGAGTTGTAGGATTGAACTGGGCCTACCGCTGAGTTTCCAGAGTGATGACATGTAAAACCCCCCAGAGTCTCAAGCCGTGCTACAAAAAGTCCCTGTCAGCTCACCATATTGTTGCATATCGAGAAGAGCTGAACTACCTACCTGTAAGACTCTGGGAAAGGTTCCCCGACAGTGGAACTCTCAGCTACCTTAGTACTCGCTAGTAGTACTACAGTCGGGTACTACTACACGTAAAGAGAATGCGGGGTTACAGTGAGGGGTCGCTTTCCTCTGGGGGGCTGTTGGTGGGCTTTAGCCATTGGGGCTGCTCGCATGATGTGACGGATAGGCATTGAATCAATTAGACGACAGCGCGCCAGTGATTGCACCTTGAGGGACACGGTCCGGGAGGCGGCATCTTTGACACCCTTTTAGGATTCTCTTTTCATTATTTCTCTACTATTTTCTTACCATCTGCCGTCGATGAGCAGCCCTTGATGATGACCGTCACGGCCCAGAAATTCACACCAGAGGTTCTCCTCGCGGCGCCGCGGCGCTCCCCGGGCGTGCCCAATGCCACGGGCGAGCTGGTCCTGTACACGGTGAGTTGGATCGGCTTGACAATCTGATGGAGATCTGGCTGTATTGAATCACGATGGTCCAATTGAAGTGGAGGCAGCTGGCTGACGCTCCTCTGCCCAGGTCTCGACATACTCCTTCGACTCCCACTCCAAGACGTCGCAGATCCGCGTCCTCAACATCAATGAAGGAACATCGCATCTCGTCTCCGAAGACGCCGCGGCCAGCGAACCGATCTGGATCGCCGAGCAGGAGATTGCCTATGTCAAGAGCCTCGACCACGGTGCTTCGGCCCTGGTGGCGCAGCATGTCTTGAATCCAAAAGAGTAAGTTGATCTTGATTTCTTGTTGTGAGACCGGATTGTGATGGGTCTCTGCACAGTACTAACTAGCTGCAATCCAAAGGTCAAACACCATCCAGCGCTTCGGCGGCAGCATCAACAGCCTCAAGGCCAAGCCGCTGTCCGCAGACAAGGTGGCCTTCTGCTGCGCTGCTCTGACGACTCCCGATGGACGCATGTACAGCCCGGCTGCGGAACCAAAGACTTACACGTCGGCCAAGATCTACACGTCCCTCTTTGCACGGCACTGGGACTCCTGGAACACTGAGAACAAGAACTCGCTCTGGTACGGCCAACTCGAGAAGGCCGACGGCAAGTGGACGCTTGGGAACTCGGAGCTCACCAACCTCCTGGCCGGCACGCGGCTTCATTCTCCCGTGCCCCCCTTTGGAGGCACCGGTGATTTTGACGTATCCTCGACCGGCATTGTCTTCGTTGCAAAGGATCCGGACCTGAACCCTGCGAGAACGACCAAGTCTGACCTCTACTTTGTTCCGCTGCATTCATACCTGGACAAGCCGACCTTCCCCCAGATCGTCAAGACGGGGACGTTGCAAGGCTATTCGCTCTCTCCCGTCTTTTCGAGTGATGGAAAACAGGTAGCTTTTCTACGCATGAAATCACAGCAATACGAGGCCGACAAGACGAGACTCTTGCTGATCCCAGACGTCACCGACTTGAGCAACGTTCAAGAGTTTTACGCGACGGAGGATGGCAAGGGCGGCTGGGACTTTAAGCCCGATTGGCTCATCTGGAGCCATGACGACAAGGAGCTGTATGTTGCGGCCGAGAAGCACGCTCGAGTCGTCCTCTGGAAACTGCCGTCATCGCCATTGGAGGCCAAGGCACTCCCCACTCCTATCCACGACGACGGCTCCGTGGCCGAGGCAAGGGTCCTCGGAAACGGCTCGTCTCTGTTGATCACGACAAGATCGCGGGTCGAAAGCTCCAACTACTCCATCCTAGATCCTGCCACCAAATCCATCACCGTCATCTCGTCCAGTTCAAAGCAAGGTAAGACCTTTTCTTTGAACAAGTCGCAGTGCCAAGAGATTTGGTTCCCCGGTGCCAAGGGCTACCGCATCCACGCGCTGGTGACCCTGCCCTCGACATTCGACTCGTCCAAGAAGTATCCTTTGGCCTTCTTCATTCATGGTGGACCTCAGGGAGCTTGGGGAGACGACTGGAGCACTCGCTGGAACCCGGCCGTCTTTGCTGAGCAAGGCTATGTGGTGGTGGCCCCCAATCCAACTGGCAGCACGGGCTATGGCCAAGACCACACCGATGCCATCCGGAACAACTGGGGAGGTGACCCTTACAGCGACCTGGTCAAGTGCTTTGAGTACTTGGAGAGACACGTGAGCTACGTTGACACGACCAGAGCAGTAGCTCTCGGCGCGTCTTATGGCGGCTACATGATCAGTAAGTCTATCCCAAGCATGTAGGTGCGTGAGAAGATTTGCTCTAACTGGTTACCAGATTGGATCCAGGGCCATGACCTCGGACGGAAGTTCAAGGCATTGGTGTGCCACGATGGCGTCTTCTCGACCTTGAACCAGTGGTCCACAGAGGAGCTCTTCTTCCCGGAGCACGACTTTGGCGGCGCCCTCTGGGAGAACAGAGAGGGCTACGAGAAGTGGGATCCAGCAAAGCACGTTGGAAACTGGGCCACGCCGCAACTGGTAAGCTGGCATCGGTAGCACTTGACGAACTTTCCAGAGGAGCTTGGCTGAACTGTTCGGGCTTACAGGTCATTCATAACGAGCTCGACTATCGTCTGCCCATCTCAGAGGGTCTGGCCATGTTCAACGTTCTGCAGGCTCGCGGCGTGCCGAGCAAGTTTCTCATGTTCCCGGATGAGCATCACGTAAGTCATGAGGACCGGTACCATGGCAAGAGAATGAGGGCATACATGCTAACAGCGTCGAACACAGTGGGTGCTCAAGCCGGAGAATTCTCTCGTCTGGCACAGGGAGGTGTTGGACTGGATCAACAAGTACAGTGGGATCTCTGAACAAAACTAAGTAGATTCCACTCTGTATTCGCTATTCTGGTTGGTTTATTGTATGTTGACCCTCGCATGTTGAGTTTGGCGCATGTATGATAAATGCTTGTGGAACGTGTGAAGCATCAGGCGGCTTTTTTGCGTTTTCTTTCTTTCTTTTTTTTACTTGTGCGTAGCAATTGCATTCTGGCAATGGTTGGACCTTTTGACTTGTTCAAAATAGCAATGCTCATTCAATTCACCAGGTCTGTGAGGAGTGATCGAGAGATGAAGGGGAGCAGATGTGACTCAAGCCTTCTCTTCTCAATCGGACCACATACAGTGTCAAATCCACTTGATACTTTGTAACACTGTGCGGATTTCTCTAGCTACTATTGGAGCTGGTCTGAATCTCAATTCACCTGCGAGACTGAATCTAGCTTCACTTTTGACAAGCTCTACCCGGCAGACGACAAGACGGCTGTCTCAACCTCTGCGAAAAGCGCTGCTCTCCCTTCGCCTCGCACCTCGAAACGGAACCTGCGCACGGCATACAATCACAGGCGAACATGCGCTGTGCGAGAAATCCAGTGCGACAGAGCCGATGACGTCCTGCAGAGCACATGCGACAAGCTGAACGATCCTTGTAGCGCCTCTCGCAGCACAAATTGGACGGCTGTTGCTTTTCTTTCCCCTTCTTCTTCTTCTCTTCTTCTCTTCTCTATTTTCTTTTGCTCAGCCATACTACTCCGTCTTTCATCAAACAGCCCGCCATGGCTCGCCCGCCCTCCATGTTCCACGCCTTCCTCCGGCCCTCGATCCTCCAGATCCTCCGCGCGACGGGCTACCACAGCACGCGCCCGGCGGTGCTCGACACGCTGACGGACATTGCGGCGCGGTACCTGACGCTGCTGTGCGAGAAGACGGCGGGCAACGCGGCCAACAACCACGGCGACGCGGGCGACTACGACGTGGTGGACGTGCGGATGGCGCTGCAGGAGGTCGGCGCCCTGCTGCCGGACCAGGCGTGGCGGCGCGAGGAGGACATGCGGGGCGTCGAGGAGTTTATCGGCTGGTTCACGGGCCCGCGCATGAAGGAGATGATGGAGATGGGGAGCGGCGATACGGAGAGCGATGCTACGGATTATTTGGCGGGTGAGTTTCGCGCGCTCTTATGCATCTTTTTGATTTCCTTTCTAGTGATGATCTCTCTTCTTTTTTTTTCTTTTTTTTGGCCCTGGTATGGTTGACTAATGTTCTTTTGCTTAGCCCTCAAAAAGAAGCACAGCAAGACTGGTGACGATGCAAAGTGGCAAGGCACCATCTTTGGCAAATCGACCGACAGCAACGAAATCCTCGTCGAAGGCGGGCCCATAACGAGCATCAGCGAATGGATATCCCAACGAGCGCCGGAACCAGCACATCCGCCGCGAGAAACGACAGAGCAGCATGAAGAGCAGGAAGAGCAGCAGCAGCAGGAGGAGGCAGAGAAGGACGGAGATGGCAAGCCTGAAGCCACAGGGCCAGGGAGGTCCCCTAGCTCGGGCCTCAGCTCGGTGGGAGACAGGCTGGGTGGCGATGATGCCGCCGCCGAGGACATGGATCTCTCCTAGAAGGCTGGGTGTGATGCCTCGGTGCCGGCAGAAGAAGAAGGAGGAGGAGAAGGAGCTGCGGCTGCTGCGCCGCGTGTGAGGCGTTCCAAGAAGAAGAGGGGCCGTCCGAGAAAGACGGGCCATCGTCGTTAGTCGCCTTAGAGGAGGGACATGAGGGAGAGAGGGGGCTGTTCTTCCCCTTTTCTTTTTATTTTCTATTGCATAGCGTTGGAGTTTGGGATGGTTAGGAGAGGGAGAGGGCTCTGTGTAGTCGGTTTAATGGACTGGCAAAATGGGTTTTCTTCGTTGTCTCCCCCTTCTTCTGCCTCTCTTCCTTATTATTAGAAGGAAGCAATATAGAGCTAAAGAGTAGGTTTCTTTCTATGTGAGATGAGCGCAGAGATGCCCTTGCAGTTGTGCTATGATACAATTTTCAGCTACTGGTGAAACCGGATCCCAGTGAATTCGAGCCTCTCCCCTGTTCCTTTGAACATTGATTCCATCCCATCCAAATCATTTGGCGTCATATCTCTAGTATACAATCTATTCATTCCATGAAAATTCACAACACATGCACCTATTGTCTTGCCCCCCCCCGCCCCCAGCTCATACACCCCCATCTGCCTCGCCACCTCGACAAACACCCTCCTCTTCTCCGCCTCGCTGCCCCCCTCGGGCCAGAACCTCTTCTGCAGAAGCGCGTACAGCGCCTCCCCGCGCCTCCCCTCGCCCTCGAGCTTCGCCGGGTCGAAGCCCGCCCACGCGAGCAGCTCCCGGTCGATCCTGGTCTTGGCCACCGTCAGCCGGCGGCGCTGCGAGGGCGTGTCCCAGGCCAGCTTCGTCGTGCCCATGACCATTTCCAGGACGAGCGTCTCGGGCGGCAGGAACCCGAACACCTCCTTCAGGGCGGTCACGGCGACGAGGAGGCCCGCGTTGTCGCGGAGGCGGCGGAAGGTGTGCAGCATCTTGCGGGCGAGCTGCCCGTCGATGCTGCCGCCGCCGGCGTCGGACTGGAGGAAGACGTCCTTGTGCTTGACGGTTTCCTTGAACATGGCGCGCGTGGCCTCGGTTTCCTTTGCGAGGGTTTCCGTGTCGCGGATCTGGTAGCGGTTCACGCCCAGGGTCTTCCAGAGCGCGCTGAATGTGTACGGGTCGGGGACGACCCTGCTGCCCTCCACGAGGGAGTGATAGAGGGCCACTGCCTCTTGCGGTTGTCCTTCTTGGATGAGAGATTCGATGAGCTGGTTCATCATGAAGGCGTCGGGGCTGATCTCTGCCGCGCGGAAGGCGTCCCACAGCTCCTGCAGGCGGCCGTGAAGACCTCGCTGGCGGTAGTTCTCGGCAAGGAGCCAGAACGTCTCACTGGTAGCCCGCGGCGGATCCGTCGGGCTGCTGCTGCTGCTGCTCTGTGTCGAGGGCGTAGAGCCGTCATCGGGGCTCTCGCCGCCGCTGGACTTTCGGCGGGCCACGAACTTGAGTCTCGACTCGATCAGCTCCCAGCCGAGGGCGTCGGCCTTTTCGAGGTCGTCGGCGCCGCCCGACCGCTGCCATGCTCCAATAAGGCCGTTCAGGTGTATCGGCGCCGCCTCCACACCCTTTTCTCGCATGAATTTGACGACGCTGAAAGCGCCGTTCAGGTCCCCAGCGCCAATCAGTCGCTTCAGCCACTTGCCCAGGAAGAACTTGTTGGCAACAACCGACGGCAGGAATCTTTGCCTGGCCAGGTCGATGCGCCCCTCGCTCATCATGTCGACGAAGGCGTACAGGGCATTCTCCATGTAATTGGCAGTCAGGAAATACGAAATCACCTGGTCGTAGTCGGTGAGGGTCATGTCCTTGCCCAGAAGCTCCCTCATCTGGCGGTAGGTAGCCCAGGCTTTCTGCCGGCCCTCCTCCGTCCCTTGTTCGCAGCTTGTTCGAATGAGTGGGATCAGGATGCGCGGACTCATGTTGCGGCTCAGGAGCTTATTCATGGCTCGCTCTGCTTGCTCAAGATCGCCGACACGGCAGTACATTCTCGCGCCGAGCTCCCAAAAGGCCTGAAAAACCTCCGAAGTTTCCGCGCCGAGCGTGCCTACGCATCGCTTCCAGTTGTCGATTGCCTTGGACTCCCACCCCTCAACGAAGACCGCCTCGATGGCTAGGACTTGCTGAGCAGGGCGAAGCGTAACCCCGGCATTGCTCATGTCCCTGGCGAGCAGGGCGATGCGTGACATCTCGTTGACGTCGTCCCTTTCGCTCGAGAAAGCTCTCCAGAGTACCTCCCACACTGCCGGGGGAACATCACTCCAATTTTGGGCCAGGGCCCGCCTTGTCGAATGATATGCTTTGTAGAGAGACTGCACACCCTTTGCCTTCGTGCCCGACGCCTTCTCTGCGAGCACGAAGCGGCTGATGACGGAGTTGAACTTCATAAGCTTCCGGCGTCGGTGTGCCTTCTCGTCAATATCTATGCGCACTTGCGGGATCGAGTCTTGAGGCTGGTCAGAGGAGCTATCCCCTTCCAACGACAGATCTGGCACATCTCCGATGAGCTGTTCCAGCACTCCTTTGGGTAGATCGGCACTTGCTTGTTTTAATTCGACATCGATCGACCGTGCGTAGTCTTCCATCTTTGCTATAACCTTTTCGACATCTTCCGCAGAGTTGACCTTGCCCCAGCCTTCGCCAATCTGGCTCAGAACCTCTCTGAAGGCGTCCCTGTCATCTTGGCTGCCGAGCTTTGACCGTAGGTTGAAGAGGTTATCCCGTAGTTCGGAGGCGTCGATTCCACCAATGGACTCTCCAAATGCTTGTTCGTTCGACAACTCTCTTCTGTCTCGATCGCCTTGCTCGAAGAATCGGACAGAAAATTCGTCGGCGTTCGTCTTGGCCTTGTCTGGAGTCTGAAGACTTTTGAGGCCTTCCAAGTACCGAGCTAACTCTTCTTTCGAAGGCTGACGCGTGATGTCTGTGTTTGGCCGGGGTTGGGATCGAGGCTGAGGTCGTGGCCTTGCTTTACTCGCGCTTTGAGAGGCTTGTGTGCTGTAGGACGCGGGCCGCCATGCTTGCGCCGGCTGCTTTGCGCGAGCGGCCAAACATGAGCGGCAGATGATGTCGTTTCGACACCTGAGGTCGCGAAAGATGAACGGTCGGCATGACATAGTTTGAAGAATCAATCAGTAAAGCGCAGTGCCTTCCGCACTCGCCCGTTTGAGCGTTGGGAACTTTTTTTCTGGGATCGGATGCTAAAAAGTTCAAGATTGATGCGATTGCCATGCCGGTTGGTGGATTGACACCCCACCACGGCGTTATCGATAAGCACCCGCTTGGTTCGATAAGGTACATGATACTTATCTCTGGCGATCCTCGACCCTTCACTTCGAGACTCCCGAGTCTTTATTGGAGGGAATCGTTCCCAGCATATCCTTGGGTAGTGATTCGAGACTAATCCCATCGCTTGCTCAAGGTAGGTCGATGACATTTTATATCCTCAAGCAGACCACAAATTCGACACTAACAGATATAACTTCCTCAAATTAGCTGAGGATTCAGGTCCTGTGCCTGTACTCAATGGACAGACTGGCATTGGACTGTGCCTGAGACACGCCTTTACATCTTGCTCTTCCTTCTTTGTGTATGAGATCTATCAGTCTGCGCACCATTCTCGAGAGAACTTGCATTGTCAGACTCCGTGATATACGGTACAATACGGTACAGCAATCACTGGCATCACTGGCTGGCGAGCGAGACTTGAATACTGCGTAGCCTGGTATTGTATTTGCACTGAGCTCATTCTGTTTCCAGTCCAACTCCACGGCCTTGCTGAAGCTTCAATCCGTGCGATATCCTTAGGGTAGGTAGTTGTGAGGGCAGCTCTTCCGTCGTCACGACGTCATCATAGGTATACATGTGTTGCCAAATTATTTGGAGTATCTTCCGAAAGTACTGCATTGATGACGATGTTGTTAGATGGACATTGTACATGGCAAATTGAGACGCAAAGAATGAACTTACTTGTGAAACATTTGGCCGAATACGCCTGGTTTGGATTGCTGGTCGGACATGCTCTGACGTCTGGCGGTATCGTTGGCGTTCTGGCGATGTTCATGGAGACTCGCAAAGGCGGGCATGAGGCCGGAACTCTACACCAAAAGCAGATGGTATCGTCAGCACTTGTACTGGAATTGAAAGCAAGGGACGCTGGTGAACGATAGGAGACATACGCGACGGCGAGTTCCCTGGGATGGTGGGTTCTGGTTCTGCTCGGGGTTGTTCATGGTGACTGCGGAAGACGGATGTCAATTGGTTGGTGGAGAATAGATGTGGCTTGAGTTGTTGATGAATCCTGATGAACTGCAATAATTAACGATGGTCAACTGAAGACAGACGAGAGAGGGGAAAGGGAAGGGACCTGGAGGGGAAGCTCCTTTATGTACTGCAGCTGCAGTTGCCCACGAACCGAGACACCTGGAAAGAGGAAAGCCGGCAGCCATCCAGGACAAGCTTTCGGACCATCTGCCTGATAGCCAATGACGCCGGCCAATGACCATATCGTCTCGCCACACCCAGTTCGCACGCCGCCCAAGTCTCGATGGACATGCCATTCTACCGGCCTGTGGCTGCGAGTTCTCGATCGGCGCTAAATAGGGCCCTGATAGTGTCGAGCCGGGCCAACATTGCAGTTGCACCCGGAATTACAGTCATCGCCGCGGTGAGGATTGGGGAGAGGGATGACGCGATTGGATAAGCCGTGTCTAATGGTTCGATGTCGTTTACAAATGCGCATGAGACCTTGACTATCCAATTATGGGTGGTTACAGTACGTCTTGGGACAGGCACAGACTTCGAGTTTTCGGATATCCAAAGTCCTTCTTCCATCTCCCGGACACAGAAAGCTTGTATTAACATGAGGATATCTGCTGTCGTCAGCATTCAGTCAATCAGTCAATCTCAATCCTTCGGCTGTTATTGTACCAACGTATCGACTCACCTTCCCTCTCTCTCTCACCTAATCTCGTTCCGCTGCTTCCTTCCTCGCCAGTGGCGCCTCATGCCACGGCGTCATCACACAGTGACGTATCATCCAGTTCCCTGTAAGTCCAGCAGTAAGAGGAAGTACAAAGCCTTGTAAGCTTCCATTGGCGTTGTCGTTGTACCGGCTGCTGTGGAGCGCCGTGGGGCAAGCCCAGTGGTGAATTGCGGGGGAAGGATCCACCCGGCACAGTGGAGTACGTACCGAGAGCCCCGAGAGCTGTCGGGCGGAATTAGTGTTGATCCTGAGCCTGAGGATTTGGATGGAGAACACTGACGAACGAGGACGGATGCAGTTAAAGCCACCAGGAACAGGCAGCGAATACCAGACCAGGACGCCACCAGCGAGCTGCTCAATGGGCCTGGCCGTCCCGCCAGCCGTGTCTATATCACCCGTTGCCTTTCCTTTACCTGTCCCAAAGTTCAAACCATCACGAACCACTGCGGCGGATCACGAACAAGAGCCTCGAGCCGTCCTGAGCCTGCCTCAATGCAGAGCAAGCCCCTCTGCCGAGCCGGACTGGTGACAGGCGACTATGAACCATGATGCCGCGTCCACCTCCTCGGCGCGGATCCCCGACCGGCTCTCACCACCTGGCGCCGCTGCCAATGCCGACGCCGACGACGCGGAGGCAGATGCCGAATCTCGTCATCGTCCCGAGTCGCGGCAGCGCTCGAGGTCCAGCAACGGCCGGCAGCGCAGGAGGAGGAGGAGCAAGAAGAAGCAGAATCCGGGGCTGGCCAAGAAGCTCGCCTTTCTCACACACCTGCTCAAGACGCTCGACCTCGTCTTCTTTGCTGAGCTGAGCTCCTTGTACTATATGGAGTGCGTTGACGCACGGACAAATCCCCCCCTCCCCTACCCCCGTTGTGAAAGACATGGGCTGACACTGGTATCGTTTGTTCGATCGCAGATGTTCCATATTTCGATTCTTCTTGCGGGCCGCGCCCCAGTACATGTATCTCACCCCAAAGGACGAATCCTTTGCCCTCTTGATGCCGGCTACCCAGCTTCACGTCATTCTGATAGTGGTGCCGAACCTGCTGTGCATGGCATTGCATCTTTTTGGCTCGCTGCCCACCGGCCCCGAATACCACCGAGGATACCAACATGGAGGAATGATTATCGACTTCATCGGCCAACTGCCCGCCGGCTTTAGGCTGTATTACTTAATGGCAGACCTGTTCATCCTATTCATCCAGTGTCTGATGCTTACGATACACAACCAACGGGAGAGCCTACGTGTCGCTCTCAAGACGTTCCGGCCGCTTATATCTGAGATGGTTCTGGAGCCTATCGCTCCTCGTTCGCCAGAGGACTTGGACGCGGAGGAACGCGGAGTTTCTCGGCACGTGCCGGGCCTGATGATTAACGAGACGGACGAAATTGAGCTGCAGCAGATTGGTAGACCGGGAGACGGGGAGGGACCGGAAGAGCGTAACGAGCAATCCGGATTGGCCGCCGGAGACTCTGGTGACGAGCCGCCGAGAACGCACTTGTCCGACATTATGAGTTCCGGCAACGCTGTTCTCAGCGAATATCACATAATCCACACGATGAGGAACGCTGCAATGAACACGGGGGGCTCGACTGCGTTGTCTCTACAATCGATCGGGTATAGGGCCACCATGGCGAGCATGCAGGGACGACGCCGAGGAGCGACTCTCCAGAGCACACTGGCTCCTCCTCCTAACGGCTAGAATATAAGCATGTGCCGGTATATATTGTATCTATTACATTCAAAGCCGCAGTCCAACTTTTATTTCCAAGCACAAACGAACCTCGCAGACCCTTTTACTCCGCTGTGATTTCGCCAAAAAGGAAAACAAGGACAGAACCCTCCTCCCCACCACACCCATGCCTTTTGTCGTTTAGGCGACTTTCCTTCCTACATTGCCGACGCCCGTGCCCTTGACAGAGACTATGATGTCGCCGCTATCATCATCTTCAACGTCTCTCAGGCCCCAGCTGCTTGCGCCAAATGTCTTGAGATCTCTTGCCAGTTGAACAATCTCCTCGGTGCCAAGGATATCTCTGCCAATCCGCAACCGGCCGACGTCCTCGGAGCCCATGGCCATCAGAGTGAGCACGGTGCCTGCCGAGACGGGGGTCACGCAGCCTCCCTTGGCGATGGTTTCCAGCAGCTGATAGGCGCATCTCTTTCCAATATCTTCCGGAACCTCCCCACCCGACGGCAGCACGACGACGTCTGCCGAGTACAGCACGCCGACGGCATTGGACTCTGCCACAAGGCTCAGGCCGTAGCCTATGCCCAGCCTTCTCTTGCTGCCTGCCTTGTCGCCCGTGGGCACCAATGGCGCCTGGTCGTACTGCGCCGCGATGTGGATGTCGGTGACGAAGGGGTTGAGGATCTCTCGGGCGGCGTGGATCATGCGGGCGTTGTTGGAGGCCGAGACGCCCGTGCAGTAGGCCACGCCTCGTATCCTCTTGACGCGGCCGGGGCTGCGATGCAGATGCAGCGTCTTGGGCAGGCGGACCTGGCTGGCGAAGCGCAGCTCGACGATGCCGCCGCCGCCCTTGCCGCCGGGCCCGGCGCAGGAGCGCTGCAGGACGCGCAGCTCGATGCGGGCGGGCGGGATGCCGAAGAGGCCGAAGAGCGGGAGGATGGCGGTGCGGAAGGTGTCGACGGATACGTCGCCGGCCTCGGTGGCGGAGGTGATGACGCCGGGGCCGGAGAAGCGGACGTTCATGTGGGCCTTTGAGAAGGGCGCGAGGAGGCAGAGCGGGAGGAGGAAGTAGGTGATGCCGCGGGTGCAGGTGACGGGGATGGAGTGCTCGATGACGTCGCCGTCGCCGGCGGCGCCGAGGCCGGCGATTGTGCCGGTGATGAGGCCCGGATGGTACGAGATGGTGGTGCCGCTGTAGGAGATTTGCATCGAGGAGCCGTTGGTGACGGCCTCGAGGAGGCGCAGGAAGGACACCTCGTGGGGGGCGAGGCCGGGGTTCGTCGGCGAGGAGCTGCGGATCTTGGAGATGTGGATGGGGCGGCCGGTGAGGGTCGCGATGGTGAGGCGGCGGGCGAAGGACCGGTGCCCGGTGAAGCGGAGGAATTCAGGCGATGAGCCTGACATGTTGGGTGGTAGTTTTGTTTGCTTGTGATTTTTCGACTTTCAATATGTGGTTATAACGATCGAATGGGGAAAGTTTATGGAATACAATATTTCAATTTGCTGTTTGATGTCGATCGAGAGGTGGCGAAGGAGGACGAGGAGGGGATCGTGGGTTGGTATATTTCGCTGGATTCTTCCGTCGCAAAAGTTTTGGTGGTTTCGATATTGCGGGCGAGGAAAATTATTGTTTTCTGCCGGCGGATTGGTTTCCTGGGGGGCTTGAGATAGTAGGCGGTGAGTGAGCTTGGTTTAGCGCGGAATGGCCACCACCTTGTCGAGGTACATGGGTACTTCCAATCAGCCCCGAATGGGCGTTGGTTGTAATATTGCAGCATTTGAACAGGGAGGAATTGGCATGCTTCAGACGTTCTTGTAAAGGTCACGGAACAATTGACTGGTGTAATTCAATGGCTCAAATTGTAGCTGACTATCTACATTCGCAGTTTAGTGCTGCATTTTTGCCTTGACAAATGTCGCATGAAGGCCACAAGATACTACCTAGGTAGGTAGGTAATTTGTATCAACAACTGCGCCATCTGAGAATGCCCAGCTCCCGAGTCTTACATGTCGGTTCCATCCTCATGACCGCCGTGACTTGCCAGTGACCATCAGAATCAGGTATACTTCAAAGTCAAATAAATGCATTTCCTGCTCGTACAACGCCAAAATTGCCCTCTCTGCTAAAAATCAGCAAACCTTCTATCGTCCAAGTCCAGTATAAACTTCGATTCAAAGCCATTTAAGCCAGACGAGGAAAATTGTAAAACCGCAAACCCTTTCTGTCTAGCAACGCCGCGCTTAGGACCGCTATGCATTACGCCTTCACCATGAAAATCTAGCATGTCGATCAGCAAGGATGCTTGTGAGAGAGGCGAAAGAGACCAAAACATACCTGATTTAACGCTTGGGCATCCATGAACGCAGCCTTCTTCTGCGCGATAAATCGGGACCTTGGCGTGATGAAGGCGCCTCTGGCCGTGGGTGTTGATGTGCCGGTGGTGACGGGAGTGGCCGTTCCGGAGCGTGAGTTTGCGGTAGATGAGACTGGAGGGACTGCGTCGGTCTTGTCCTTGCTCTTCTTCTCTTTTTTCTCCTTCTTGTCCCTTTTCTCCTTCTTTTCTTTCTTTTCCTTCTTCTCCTTCTTGGACTTCTTTATCTTTTCGGAAGCGCTGTTTGGTGATGAGGTATTCGGCACATCGTCTGATTCCGTGACACCCTCGCTGGCCTCCTTCTCGATCAGAGCTTTGTCCTTCTTGGACTTCTTCTTTTCCTTCTTCTCCTTCTTCTTCTCCTTCTTTCTGGCCTTTTCTGAGTCGCTGGACTGACTTGACTCAGCCTTGGCCAGCTTCTTAGCCCTCCGCTCCTCCTTTCGCTGTTTCTTCTTCTTCTTGTCGTCCTCCTCGTCATCCACAGACATCTCATCCTCGTCCTTCAGAGCTGCAGCCTTTCTCTTCTTGGACTTGTCCTTCTTCGTCTCGTCAGCAGCCGTGGGTATCTTTTCATCCTCCGATGAAGAGCTGTCTGATGAGCTGTCTTTCGAGTCGCCATTCTCCTGCATCGCATCGCCGACCAGCAAGCCTCCGCGAACAAATCGCATGGGGCCCCATTTGTTCTCCACATACTGGTGCATCTTGACCTCCAGCCTGGCCTGCCTCTTCTCTTCCACTTCCGCCTCGGACTTTCCGTTGAGGCGACTAAGCAGATCTGAAAAGACGTCGAGGCCCGTCACTTCGTCCTCTTTCGACTTGGTGAACCCGAGGCCCTTCATGTCATCCTTGAGCGACACCCGGATGTACGACGCATTGGCGGCGGTGTGGAACTCGGAGTGCGCCGCGTCCTTGGCGCCGAGGAACTGGCCAGGCTCCCAGCCTTGCGACCGCAGCATCTTCTGGCCAAACGTGGTGGTGTCGCGCGTCCATTTTGTGTTGTTGGGATCGTTTTGGATTCGCCGGCGCCTGCGTTGACGAGATTAGTGCCTGCGACTGAGCCAACCGGATTCTTGTTCCTTCCAATGCCTTACGTCCGTGATTCAGCGAGCAGCCCCATCGTGTTGACCTGGCAGAGCTGAGAGACCTGGCAGATCTCGCAATTCTTCAATGTCTGTATGATTCTGCGCTCGTGAGGCCGCAAAACCGACTGTGAAAGATTAAGTGGGCGAGAAAAAAAGAGGGTGGGGCGGCTGGCTCTTATCGCATGCTGTGATTGGGCAGCCAGCTGAATTTGAGCTAAACCGAAATAGGTTTGATAAGGCACACGGCAAGGCGGGGACCCTGTATCTACAGTAAATCAGCACTCAGTCCTTTACATGCTGAGAGAGGACAAGGAGCTTATGTGAAGATGCATTGCTGTTCTCTGGCGTGGGCATCATATTCAGCATCTCGTATTATATCTTTACTTACCCGTCACGATTTCTCTGAAAGAGTATGCTCGCGTGATTCCCTGGCTACTAGTAATTGTCGCTGTACTTTACCAGATACAATGCACGCCAGCATGAGGACCGACTCGGGAGAGGCTGCTTTAGCCCCTTGGATGCCTCCTCAGGGTTGGTCAATGATAATCAGAAACTTCAGCCCATGCATCAACACTTGGCGTTTGTCGATCTTCCAGTACTGTAGATGATTAAGAGACCGCTAGTCCTGGAAAAATAGGGTGGCCGTATGTAGTAGATGCATTTGCGAGTTTTCGAGTACTAGTATTAACGAGCAGCATGTAACTTCAAACCCATGCAAGGTGAACCCTCCCTGCGTATAAGGTATTACGCGTATCTCTTCGGCAGTGCTCTCGAGTGGCATCCCGCATAATGATGATGCTCAGAACCATACTACTACTATTAGCAGCCTGCACTCCGTAAGATCCAACGGCATGGATACGGGGCACGTATTTCAATCTTACGCAGTACCTGAAGCCGCTTCTGATCACTTTTTTTTGACTACGAGGAGACATGTCATACTCTGTTTCTTGCCTATGTGTACTTGTAAAGAAATGCTCATCACGCGCCTCTGCTTCTTATCAAGGCTCCTCCCCTCTTTGTCACTCCCGTGGCAGGCATCTCAACATCCCTTTCTTCCCTCTCCGGGGTCCTGGACATGCATGCGCAAAAGACGGGCCCTCATAGGAGCATTGCCAGGCGCCGATCCCTTAGCGGCCAACAGGGGTCATCGAAAAGAAGCTCATGGGTTCAACCGTTAGCTCTGCCCGCCTCGTGCTAACCCAGCACTAACACAACGACCCCCAAAAACCGAAGCTCGAGGCGTTTCTATCTCGTCCACTGGGGTTCACATGCCAATCCGTGTGGCGATTGGGTTGGCCCAGGAGGCTTTGCGACTGGTACGCTTCTTTTGAGCTGTTTGAGAACTGGATACTGGATGCTCAGCCGAGATGAAATGCGGAGCTCATGGCATAACAAGATCTCCAACATGTGCGATTGAGATGGGCAAATGGGGGTTTGAGGCTGGTGTTTAGATATGGAGGTACCTGGGAGATTGCATGAGTGTGGGTGTTTCTGCGAGGTAGCATGTTATTGCATGTCGTTGGTACTGTGGTTTGTCTGACCGCTTGGTAGGAGAACAGACTGTATCCAATATTTGATGGAGAAGGACTGCGGATATCATCCCCACGCCCTGTGTTTGATCGACCAGCTGCCGGCTTGTTCTCATACTCATTATTCGAGATCATGACTTGCTTTACAATTCAACAATGTTCATACTATGGATTAGAGGGTACAAGTAGGTGGGTATTACGCAACTCACCTCCACCACAACACCTCCGTCGTCCCAAGGGGGGGGTATTACATAGAGACTTCGTCGACCGCTGCAAAGCACTGGGCACATGGTGTAAGTGCATGGCCAAACCAGTACAAAACGGGCATTGCTGGGATCATGAGCGCAGACCAAGAGGGTCCGGGGTCCTCGAGCCGTCAACGAATCCATTCGTCGCTCGCATACGCGTGTTCGCAAAGCCGCACTTGGCTTCTTCGACGTGCTACGCTGGTCTACCCGCTAGCAACTCATCGTGGCAGCAAGAACAGAAGCTATCTGGCTTATCACCATCTCTTATGAGTACTACTCGACAGTAAGGTAGCTATCTATATACTGTCTGAACAAGGCTGTGCATGGTATATCTCCTGAAGAGATGCTCCTTGTACCCTCGGCTGGTACTGTACAAGAAACGACATCCCTTATCCCCCTTTCCACTCCTCTCGCGAGGACCCATCCGCCATGTATCCCATGATAACACAAGCAAAGAGAGGCCTCGATACGTGTGTGGAACCTATTCCTTGCGCCAAAGATCCAAGCTTCTGTCCATGGAGCTGCTTCAAGGTGTCAGTCAGCGTCTAGTCCTTGCTTGAGCTTCCCTTGGGTCCCGCTCTCGTCTCTCCAATGCCTTCGGTTCTCTTCTCCTCAGACTTTCTTTCGTTTTCATCACTTGTTTCTCTTCTGTTATCTTGACATTGTCGTCTGAGCGTGTCTACGACTACTTTTTGGTCGAGTGTTGCTGCTTGGAAGCCCTCACATCGTGGCTGGACCTCCTCTAGCCAGCTTCCACTGAAATGATGGGGTTCCTCACTTGGTGCTCCCGGTGCGCGACCGGTTTGAGCATGCTGGTCCTCATCGGCCTCTGCTACTGGGTGATATCGCGAGAATCGACGGTAGAGCGACACGGATTCAAGGTCGAGGGAACAAGCGTCGAGGGCGAGACGTACTCGTCGAAAACCACCACGGTCGGGGCCGGCATCTGGACCTTCGTCTTTGCCTACTACTGCCTCCTGATTCACTTCCTGGTCGCCATGTTTCCCATCCGAGCATGCTGGTCCATCTGGAGCATCACGCAGGCCCTGAGGCGCGGATCGCAGAGCAGAGCCGTTGAGGAGTACAAGGGCGCCGGGCTTCGCCGCTACAGTTCGTCGTCGTCCGTGGCCAGCTCGGAGACGCTGGCGTCGAGCATCGGCAACGGCGTCTCGTCGACGGACACGGAGCTGAGCGACTCGCAGCCCGAATTCTACATCGACGGCAAGGCTGTGCCCGAGAGCCCCATTATCCACGCCATTGTCATCCCCAACTACAAAGAGGAGGCGGACACCCTCCGTGAGACTTTGGACGTCTTGGCCTCGCATCCCCAGGCCCAGAGCTGCTACGATGTACGTCGTCTACTCTGAGTTTCTGAACCAGATAAACCAAACCGCCCTGATACTGTTCCCCCTATCGCATCGCTCGTGCAGTGGTTGCGTAACATGATGGCATGCGCGTGGAAGCAATGCTAATCGAGGTCATTACGGCCGAATCCAGGTCTACCTTGGCATGGAGCTGCGCGAGGTGGGAGGCGAGTCAAAGGCGCTGAGCCTGATCCAGCAGTTCCTCAAGAGGTTTCGATCCATTGACTACACGCTGCATCCCGGCGACATTCCCGGCGAGGCGGCCGGCAAGGGCAGCAACATGGCCTGGGCCGCGCGCAAACTGAGCTCCAAGTATCCCATGTCGGTGCGCAAGAATGTCATTGTCACGGGCATTGACGGTATGTTGTCCGTGTACAAGATGTAGCTACGGAGCTGACTTCTGTCTTTGTTACTTGTATATAGCCGACAGCCACCTCTCGTCGCGATACTTTGCGCAAATCTCCAACATGCACACAATCCATCCCGACATGGCTGCCACCACTCTGTATGCCGCCCCCATCATCTTCGACCGCAACGCCCACAACGTCACTGCTCTTGTCCGCGTCGCCGACGTCCTCTGGTGCGCGGCCGGCATGTCTGGCCTGTACAAAGGCTCCGTCATCGCTCCCCCTACGTCGGTGTACTCGCTGCCGCTGGTCCTCGTCGACCGCGTCGGCGGCTGGGACTGCGACTCGGATGCCATTGGCGAGGACCTTCACATGTTCATCAAGTGCTTCTTCGCCCTCAACGGCCACCTCACCTGCCGCACCGTCCTCAGCCCGGTGAGCCAGACCAACGTCACCGGAGGCGGCAAGGGCGGCTTCCGAGGCGCGTATCTCGACATCAAGGCTCGCTACAGTCAGGCTCTCCGACACATGTGGGGAGCTCTGGACTCGGGATTTGCGTTGCGCAAGGCGGTCTCCATGTGGAAGGACAGAAAGTACACCGCTAGAGCGTTTCGTCCTCTGCACCGCACATGTCGCGGAGACAATCTAGATGCGTACTTCCCCGAGTCTCAGCTAGAGCATACCGCGGAGGTGCCGGCTGAGAACGGTGTCTTTTCTGACATTACGAGGGATACGCTCAAGGAGCCTCACTGGGAAAACATCTTCTACATGGGCCACCGCCTGTTTGAAGCGCATTTCCTGCCTCTCCAGATGCTGATCCTAGTCGTCGCCTCTTCTCTGTACACATGGGTCACCGACGGCGGAGAAGATCCCAACGACCTGGCCTGGATCTTTTCGGCCTGCAACGTTCTTCGCACCATGGGCTTCATGGAGATGGCCGTCTACATCTTCCTCTACGAGAGCTACCACCGGGTTTGCGTCCGCAGCCGCGAGAGGGACATGGTCCAGGCCGGGCTGGCGGACGGCATGTGCTTCTCGCATCGCTCGCTGAGGAAGAACTTTGTCGACTATCTGCTGGTGCCCATGGTGGCGCCCTTGTATGGCGCGATTCCCTGCGCGCAGGCGGAGATTGCGCACTTTTGGACGGCCGATTTGGAGTATGCCGTTAGCAAGAAGGCGCTGAGGCAGAGGGCCAAGTCTGTGACTGTGGAGGACATTGCTTGAGAGCGTTGAGCGTTGTTTTGTCTTGGGAGCCCGAGCGAGGAAGCATGGAGTTGGGATAGACTTTTACCACCAGTAGGTAATGAATGGCTTAGGATGACGGGAAAGCAACCTTGGCAACTAAGGTAATGATAATAAGGTACTGTCACATAATCGGATGCTGTGGCTTCCAGATCCGGCACTGAGAGTTATCCAGTAAATATTATAAGAACTTCATCAAGGGACTTACAACTCACTCGCCAGTCTGATCGAGTTACGAATGATGACTGAAGAAGTGCATCTGTACATAGACCAAGTACGGAGTATTAGTGGTAGATAAGTACTCCGTAACAACAATCCAGACCTTTCTCTTCTTCCTTCTAGGAACAAAGTGTACAAGACTGTGCTTTAAATTAGAGGCTGCGGCTAATGCAACGTTCCGAGCTCAATCTGCAAACGCTTTAAGCCAATCTCCAATCTGCGTCCGGATTGAATCCTTACATTCAGACAGACGGCGCGGAGATTGTGGGGCCTCTGAGCCGGGACGCCAGAGTCGGATTGGAAGAAAAGAAGAAAACTGACAAAAGACAGATGGCATTTCAGCCAATCAACTGACGACGGTTCCTGAGTGAGTCTGCATGTCTCATTGCATGTCATTTTTTCTATTTCTGGCGGGAAGTCGTAAGGTTGAGAGAGGATACAATCAGGGGTTGATGAACAAGTTGAGTCTGATTGTCGGGTAGACTTGGTTGAGTTGAATGGCATCGACTTGTATATAAGAGAAGGACTGTAGGTGCTTTGTAGCATCGACTTCCCACTTCGTAGTACGAGTACCAGAATCCAAGATTTTTTGCTACCTACTTAGGTTGGTATCTATGCCCTTTGAGGCTATCTTATCGTAAGGTAAGTGACTGATGTCGCCATCAACGAAAAATTCATTCTATCAAACTCTTCAACATCACCGTAAAGCATCTTGCCTCTGCTCCAAAATCTGCAGGCGGTGAAAGGCGGCTCAACGGCCGAGGTCCACTACCATGCATCACTGGCTCCGCTTCGGCGGGGTCGGTTGCTTAGCCAGCGACATCCACCGCGCGATAAGCGTCTTATCAAACCATCCCGATTGGCCAACACCGGCAAGTGGGGACTCCGCTGGATGGTTTGACGGCGGAAGGAAGAAAAAAAAAAAAAGACCAAGATTTTTCTCTTGAGCTTCTCTCGCCTCGCCTCTTTTTTTTCCTTCTTCACGACGCGATTTCCTTGAACAACTCGGGACGAGCAGAACCGCATTCTCTTCGCGACTTCTTTCTCTTCTCTTCTTGTGATTCTACTTACTAAAGTCATTACCGTCATCTAACACATCTGTTGCAATGGCTGCTGTTCCCGGTCCCGTCTATGGCCTCGAGGTCCCGCCTGGAGAGGTGCTGATCCCGGCCAACTTGGAGTTTCCTGCCTCTGTAAGTTTCGACATTCCTTCTGTCCCAGAAGACTTACATGTCTATTATCTGTCGCCGCTCAAGCCATGCTGCCTGGATTCGAACGGGCTCATCTGGCATTCCTACTACTGGTGTCCCAGCTCGGATCTCCAGCACCTGGCGATGGTTGAGACTTTGGTTCGTACAATTGACGCTAACCACCAACTTCCCTCGTGCAGTTCCGCATCACCATGGCCGCTCTCGACCCTACTGAGGAGCCCGAGCTTGATGACTCTAAGCCCACCCCTTCAGTCCCTCGCTCAACTCTGCGCCTGATCAAGCGCGCCTTCCCTGACCAGGATGGCAACGATGATGAGAATGACCTCGATGAAGAGTACATGAGAGCCCTTCTCGGCAACTCTGACGACGAGGATGACGAGGCCAACGGCGGCCCCAGCGACCCCGCCAAGGCTAAGAAGCAGAAGCAGGCTGCTGCCATCAAGCAGCTTCTCGAGGCCACCAACGGCGAGGGCTCAGAAGATGAGGACATGGAGGATGCCGAGGCCAACGGCGTCAAGCCCAAGAAGGGCAAGAAAGAGAACGCCAAGGGCAAGGGCAAGGGCAAGGGCAAGGCCGTTGAGCAGGAAGTTGAGGAGGAGGAGGACGATGAGGATGACGAGGACGACTTCGACGAGGAGGAGGGCGGCGATCTCGAGAACTTTGTTCTCTGCACTCTCGACACTGAGAGGGTAAGCAATCTTTCTCTGTAGAGCGAAACTCATTTGAGCAAAATCTTACTGACACCCACTCCAGAACTACCAGCAGCCTCTCGACATCACTGTCAACCAAGGCGAGAAGGTCTTCTTCTGCGTCTCGGGAACACACACTGTTTACCTGACCGGCAACTACATCATGGATGATGATGAGGAGGACGATGAGGATGGCGAGGATGACTATGACCTGTCTCCCGATGAGCTGGAGTATGCCATGGGCGAGGATGACAGCGAGGAGGAGAGCGACGACCTTGATGATATTGCGGACCCCCGTGTCACCGAAATCGAGACTGACGAGGAGGAGGCTCCCCAGCTGGTGGCCACCGACAACAAGAAGGGCAAGAACAAGCGCTCTGCTGCCGAGGCCGAGGGTCTTGATGATCTCATGGCCAAGTCTGCTGATTCCAAGCTTTCCAAGAAGCAGCAGAAGAAGCTCAAGAACAACAAGGGCGAGGCTGTGGCCGCTGAGGAGAAGGAGAAGGAGGAGACCAAGAAGGACGCCAAGAAGGTCCAGTTCGCCAAGAACTTGGAGCAGGGTCCTACCGGCTCAGCTGAGAAGGCCAAGAAGGCGGCCAAGCCCTCTCTCGGAGTTAAGAACGTCCAGGGCGTGACGATTGACGACCGCACTATCGGCAAGGGCCGCACTGTCAAGAACGGCGACACCGTTGGTGTCCGCTACATTGGCAAGCTCCAGAACGGACAGCAGTTTGATGGTAAGCTCCCCAACTTTCCGTAACCCTCTGTGGACGCAGAAGCTAATGCGATATGAACAACAGCCAACAAGAAGGGCAAGCCTTTCTCCTTCAAGATTGGCAAGGGCCAGGTCATCAAGGGCTGGGACATTGGCATTGTGGGCATGGCCATCGGTGGCGAGCGTCGCCTGACGATTCCCGCCCACCTGGCCTACGGCTCCAAGAGCCTGCCTGGCATCCCCGCCAACAGCACATTGACCTTCGATGTTAAGCTGCTCGAGATCAAATGAAGCACAGTGTCTTATTAAACTTGGGACTGGCGTTGGATGACTTCCACGGTTGCGTGTCTTAATTATTTGCTCGCATTCTCTCGACCACGTGGAAAGTCGGGCATGGTTTAGGTTGATTTCTTTTCTTTGTATTCTGTTTTCTTTACGCGCCGCAACGTTTTCACGAGGAGCCTGATCTTATTCAAGCCTAAGTCGTGGCATACGGTGCCGTGCGGCATTCGGATTTGACATGCCATACTGGGCATTTGGGATTGGTAAAGGTGAGGAATCGGAACTGTTCGGGCTGAGCATACTTCTGCTATATGTAAAAATTCGCAGCTGTTGATGAAAATCAAGGTGGTCAAGGGCGTGGGATGACGATTTAGACGTCTATAGCATGGGACCAGAAGATGTTTCCATTTGAAAGACTGAATCTTTCCTTCAACTCGACCTAGAGCCTCGTAAACGCATGAACTTGTGACCGACCAAGCATTGAGAATGACTCCCATACGGCTGTTCAGACCTCGTGTGAGCCGCAATTCGCTGCTTGGCCCTTTGCATACTGGTTCACCTCCTGTCAGTGCTGACTTGCCTTCTCGCATATAAGGCCCTTGACAGTACCTACTGGGTATTGCCTATTCTGATGGTTGTTACCAATGGGCTGTTCTTACCTCGCAAAAGGCGATGGCGTTTGTGTGAACCTGGAAGGAGCACACCTTCCACAAGCCATGCCTCCTCCCGTGAATAGTCTCACCATCTGCTGCTCTGCCCTGATCCTCCTCCATCTCTTTCGTCTCGTCTTCATCATCTGTTTTCCCCAAACTCGCACCGCCGTCATTCATTCATTAATCACTCAATAATATACTACAAGCAAACATCATTTCTATCTTCACGATCACCCCCTTCTTTCGATCCGCCTCCTGAACTGTGCGGCCGTCACATCTGCTCTTCCGCAATCCCATACCAGGATGCTGCCTCAGCATCTCAATGCGAGACGAAACGATCCATTACCCGATCCAACCTCGAATGGACAAAATGAATCTCGTACCCTTCCTTTTCAGTTTCCGTTCAACGGAGGGGAGGGTCTTTCGGGATCTGACATCTTGAAACTTCATCGGAAACATTCGAAACAGTGGGCTGAGAAACTTCGCAAGGTGATTGGGGTCAAGGGAAGAAACGACCATGGTAAGTCCATTCCTGAATATCCGCTGATCCGCAGATTGCACACGCGGCTGACAGTTGCCAGGCTCGCAAGGCTCTGCCACTCTCGACTGGTCTCCCAGCGAAAGTCTTCGATCTCTGCACAAGGGGAAAAATCCGGCCACCGGCGGCTCAGGCAACGATGCCACGGTGCTGCGGAAACCAAGAGGACTCCCAACAACAAAAGGATTCATGAGAAAGCTGCTGCCCAATGACCTCAAGGCTTCACCAAATTCCACTGTTGTGGTTTCCGACTCTCCTTTACAGCAGCATAGCTCGTTCCAGGATCTTGTTGGCGTTCTCGAGTCTGATGATTCGAGCGATCAGGATGATATCTGGTCATCCACCCACAGCAGTAGACTGGCAAGCCCAGAGGACAACCTGACAGGGAAAACATCAATCGACTCTCGCTTATCTGGCTCACGCTCAGCCAAAGGGAGCCCAAGGAGAAGATTAAGCCGCCGCAGTCGCTGGACCAGATCCAGCCCCGAAGGGGCAGCGCTGGGAACCATCGAAGAGACAGCGGCGGACAGACCGAAGCCAACCATCGTTACAGTTGAGAGAGCGGCTGCTGCCAAGATCTTTCTCGAAACCCACTTCAACGAGCTCTGCAGCGAGTTGCAGCGTCGCTCCATCCGATGCCAACAATTTGCACACCAGCAGTTCAAAGATGGGCTTTTCAACTCCCAAAACTTGGCTTCCGGAAACAGTGGTATCAACTACAGCACGTTCTATCACTCCGAGACCTCTCGCTTGAGGGACATACGATCTTTAAAGGCCAAATGCACGATTCAGGCCAAACGGCAAAACCCAAGCCCCTTTGCGTCCAGGTATGAGCCCTTGAAGATACTAGGAAAGGGCAGCTTTGGAGTTGTCAGGCTGGTACGCGAAAAGTCAGAGTCGCCATATACTTTTACGAAGCAAGTGTATGCCATGAAAGTCATACGGAAATCAGACATGCTTCGAAGCAGCCAGGAGGGCCACCTGCGAGCCGAGAGGGATTTTCTCGTTTCTTGTGAAGGATCCAATTGGTAAGCACGCCAGCCTATTTGATGCTTCCATGCGAAAAAAGATCAACTAATTTCTTCATCTCCTTTCCCACAGGGTGGTGCCACTGATTGCGAGCTTCGAAGACATGTCAAACCTCTATCTTGTCATGGAGTACATGCCTGGAGGCGATTTTTTGGGTTTGCTGATCCGAGAAAACATCCTGCATGAGGCCGTGGCGTGCTTTTACATTGCTGAGATGATACTGGCCGTCGAGGAAGCCCATCGTCTTGGATTCATCCACCGTGATATCAAGCCTGACAACTTCCTTATATCCAGCTCGGGCCATCTCAAGATTTCCGACTTTGGGCTTGCGTTTGACGGACAGTGGCCTCATGACGCCTCGTATTACAATTACCACCGATATTCGCTCTTGCAAAAACTCAATGTCGATGCGAAAGGAGACGAAAAAGATCAAGAGGACGGAAAAAGCGTTCAAGCGCGGGTCGAGAAAGCTCAGGCTCTGACGGCTGATCTCGGGCGACACGACGAGCACAACTTTGGAACTGGACAGGATCTGGCTGTTGTCCTGGGATGGAGGAATACGTGTAGCAACCGCACGAGAGCCAACTCTGTCGTTGGCACAAGCCAGTACATGGCTCCCGAAGTGATTCAAGCACAAAACTATCAGACCTACTACGACGGTAGATGCGACTAGTAGAGCATCGGCATCATTCTGTACGAGTGTCTTTACGGACACACCCCATTCCTTTCGGACGAAGGCAGAAAGCCTACGAAACAAAATATTCTGGTGAGTGCCCGCCGTTGATGAAGACTTGTTGTTAATGATCAGAGCTGACTCTCTGCGAAGGCCCATAAAGAGAGGTTTCGCTTCCCTGTCAGACCTTTGGTCAGCGACAAATGCAAAGACCTGATCTACCGCTTGATCCAGGACAAGGAAGTCCGTCTCTGCTCCAAACGATACCAAATGCTTGACCAAAGCCAACCAGGGCAAGAGATGCCTATGGATATCTATGGCCGATACGTGTTCCCTGACGACGCCGAGGACATCAAAGCGCATCGATTCTTCAGAAGCGTGCCGTGGGACAATCTCCAGAACACGGCGCCACCCTTTGTCCCACGCATCAATAGCCTTGAGGACACCCACTATTTTGACGAATCCGAGCCTCTTGATGAGCGAATCGACTCGGCGACGGAAAAGCCTGGGCTGACGGACGAAGAGGTGCGGTGGATTTTGCGAGAGTTTAGGCCGTGCGTACAGAACGTCGCGATTCGGCTCATCAACGTTCCATATGACTCTGGCGCTCTTCGCAGCAGAGACTTGGAGATTGACTCGATGACTGTATTCGCAGAGGAAGAGAAGGAGCTCCTGAAGAGATTCATGAGGGAATACGGGCGAAGAGTACCCAAGCGACCACGAGACATCGTTCTACGAGACGAGAACATGAAGGGTACGGCCATGGAGGTGAGAAAGCAGAGCGCCTTCATGGGCTACGCGTGGCATAGCGTGAGGAAGAGGGCATATTGATGGCTCAGTTTGGGGAGTGGGAAGCCTAGATCCCTTGACAGAACACGAAACTTGATGAGGAGGGGAAAAGAAGGAGATGATGTTTGACCAGCGCATAAAATACCCACGAGAGAGTATCACACAACAGGATTAGTTGATACAACAGAGTTAACTGGTATATTTTACAATTGCCCTTTGCTTGTCATCTTGTGACTGCAATAGCGTATCGCGTTAACTTGGTATCCAATCCCTTGCGCTTGTCTTTTCTAATACCGTCTATGTGGTTTATTAAGTTTGGAATATGGTCATAAGATGAATCATAATGACCACCGGTTAATCATCTTTGACATGTGAATTCTGGGTAGCAGTATGCTCTGACGCAGCAAGTGCCCTGGCCGTTTGAACCTCCCACTCAAACTCTCGCAGAGCCCGAATCTCGGACCAGAAGAAGAGCAGGGCAAGCAGGCCGTCGACAACGCCCGTGGTGAGGCCCAAGCTCGCAACGAGCATGAGGATGAAGGCGACGAAGTTGCGGGGGCTGAACCACACGGCGACGAGGCAGCCGACCCAGACGAGGACGGAGGCGTAGAAGTGGACGCCGCGCCAGTAGCGCTGGCGGACCTCGCGGGCCATGTACTCGTGCGTCATGGCGAGGATCTCGTCGTAGTCGGAGAGGGAGAGGCTGGCGCTTTCGGGGTCGTTGCCGCCCGGCGGTGGGAGGAGCTGGGCGTCGAGGACGGGGTTGGGAGAGGATGGCGATAGCTCGTGGAATCGGAGGGTGGCCAGGGCGGCGAAGTGGTCGGACAGGGAGACGTTGAGCTGCGGGTGGCGCTGGGTCATCTCGACGGAAGCCGAGTGGACGACCCAGCCTCGGGGCGGCGCGCCGGGGTTGCGGGCATCCGGGGGCAAGGGGCCGGTGGAGGCGAAGACGTAGTCGAGGCGTTTGCCGCGAGGGTCCGGGCTGTCCGGGTCGACGGGGCAGGGCTCAGTCTTGAGCTTCTCGCGGGCGGCCTTTGTCCAGCGCCAGGTGTTGTAGACGCCGTCGCTGGTCGACCCGTTGACGGTGAGGTTGAAGTGAGCGGTGGGGACGGGGAGGCCCCTCGCCTTCTCCGCGGGATCGGTGGCGGTGCCCAGGGAGCTCTCGGGGTGGAGGACGCGCCATGTGTCGCGGAGGGGAGTGCGCGCGGTGATGATGCGGTGGGTGAGCGACCGGGGCGTCATGTTGAAGTCGCCCAGGGCGACGACGAGGCGGCCCGTCAGGGAGGCGGCGCGGAGGAGCTTTGAGATTTCCCATGCCTGGGCTGTGCGGTGGCAGAGATAGGTGTCGTTTGGGGGCCTCTCATAAGGGGCATGCGTCTGTGGTGGTGATTTTAGTATCATGTGTGTGATGTGATAATAGGGGGGGAAAGGGGAGATGAGATGAAAAGGGAAACAAACTCACATGAGTGTTGAAGACCTCGATTACATCGTTTCTGCCCGGTCCGAACCTCACGCTGGCACAGGCCACGCCCTTGCCGACATACCAATCGCCTCGCCAAAACGCCGTCGGCCGGCCGTTGAGCGGGTAGCGGAACATGGAGCTCGCCTCGATGGGCCAGCGGCTCAGCAGGGCCAGGCCGCCGCCAAAGGCGCCGCTGTGGTAGAACTTGGCGTGGGGCAGGACGGCGGCGGTGGCCTCGCGGACGGCGCGGAAGTCGGCCTGGGCCCAGCACTCCTGGAGGCAGACGATGTCCGGGGGCGGGTCGAGCAGGGCGAGCTGGCGGCCGATTTCCGCGAGGCGCGGCGCCCGGAGGGCCGAGATGTAGACGAGGCCCCAGCAGTTGAGGGTGAGGAGGCGGATCTGGGTGACGGGGGGGTTGGTGGTGGTGGTCTGCTGCGAGGCTGAGGGGGGGTCCATTTGGTGTTCTTGGATATCTGGGCGCTTTTTCTTTTGGCTATTGTTCGATGAGACTGAGACTATGGGAATGAGGTGAGAGAGAGTTGTATGTCTGAAGCTTCCAGGTTCACCGTCTTGAGGCCAGCTTGACCGAGCTCAGCCCCTGCATCGATGGACCCAAAAGGTTGTCCTTTTGGTGAGGCGGAATGCGTCGTAAGAGGCCAATGGAGAGAGTGTATGAGCGTTTTCTTGATATTTGCATGCTCTGTTCGTGACAAAGTGCGCTGATGGAAATGCGCACTGGTGAAGATGCCCAAGTTGATGTAGTCGGGCTGAATGAATTCCGAGCTTGAGGCCATCATGGGTTCCAGTAAGCCAGGGTACAAGGTACAGGGTACGTAGGTACTTGTCTCCGTCCACAGCACAGCCTGCAGCTGGGGCAGGCACGCCAAGTCAGCAGCTTCCTCGGCTGCCAATTGACTTTGACTGGGAGGAGTCTGACTTTACACTTGCCAGCATCATGATATCGGAATGATGCAGCTTGGTCTATCTGACTACGTCAAGTCTTGTATGCATCATTCTGCATATAGTAGATGTCTCAGTGATATAATCGAGTCTCCCTTGCTAGGTATGGTATCTACCTTATTTGATAGGGATTCGATCGAATTCGTTGCGGGGCTCCTTTCAAGGCCGCCGACGTATAAGTGAAGCCAGCTCTCCAGACAAACCCTCATCATCAACTCAACGTCAACTTCAACATCAAACCACCACAGCAGCATTCACCATCACCAACAAACAAAGGACAAACAAATTCAACTGCAATCGAAACCTTTCCCATCCAAAAAAAAAAAAAAAAAATGTCCGAACTCATCGAAATCTCCACCTTCACCATCAAAAACAACCCCCCCGCGCCCCCTCCCCTCGTCCTCTCCGCCCTCAAGACCCTCGCCGTAGCCCCAGACATCGTCGCCGTCTACTTTGGCGCCCACGTCGAGTCCCCCACGACATACACCTCCGTCGCCCGCTGGTCCTCCAAGGCCGCCCGCGACGCCTTCGTCCACAACCCCTCCTTTGAAGACTGGAGGACCTCCTTCACCAAGGACATCGACACCCTCCTTGTCCTGGCCAGCAAGGGCAGCGATGGTGATAGCGGCGGCGACCCTGCTGTCCCGCTCGAGGCCCCCTGCACCGAAATCTTCACCAGCTTCGGCGCGGAAGACGACTACTTGGAGAATCGCCTCAAACCATTCGCAAAGGCCATCGCGAGCGCCGACCCGCCGGGCCTCGTCGGCGCCGGCTTCGCGGACGAGTTCGCCCCCGTGAGGCACGTCGGCGTCGACGAGCCCAAGGCCAAGATCTCCGTCCTGCTGCAGGGCTGGAATTCAAAGGCCGACCACGAGGCCCAGAAGGGAGATGGCAAAGGTGAGTAAGCCCCTTTTTCTGGCTTTTCTTTCTTCCACCCTTGTATAAGATCGTTTTCGTACCGTTAGGGGTGAAACTTGCACTGACTGAGAGTATTAGTGATTGACAAGCATATCCATCTCGTCAGGTCAGGCCGTAAATCTGTTAGCTTGGTACGGATGAGTTTGCCCTTTCCCTGCAGTTCCATCAAGTTGTATATTCGAAGCATCGCATGCTAACGTACACATTCGCAGTTCCATGTCCATTTCGAGAAGCTTTAGAGCTGTCAGCTGTCACAGGATGAAATGTTTACAAGGAAAGGAAAATGTCCCATGTACGATAGTGATGAAAAGGGCAGAGAAACAATTGTGAATTATTGTGCATCTGTACTTTTCTTTGCGTTGCTTTGCCATCATGGCAAATGATGTGCCCGTCTTCCTATAAAGACCAACTCGTAGACTCCCAGATTTGATAGCATCAATCACATCGAACCAACCCTCAGAATCACCAACTATCTCATAGGGCTCCTGCCCACGCTCGACAGCCTTCTTCCCCCCTCTCTCGCTCACCCTCGAATTCCGCCCCTGTCACGGTAAGAGACTTCCCATTTCTAGACTGCCAAAGAAATGAACTGGAGACAAAGCGAAATAAAATCAGAAGAATAGAGATAAGAGAGATAGAGAACAAAAGAGGAGAAAACAGATTCGAGTATCCGTAACTACCATATCGTATAGCCATTGACCCCTTTTCCACGCCTCACGCATCGCGTCAGGCCCAACCCAGGTTCCATCACCTCGCCTTGCCTCGCCTTGCCTCGTCCATCGTCGCTGCGGCAAGTGGTTACACTCGGTGCTTTTCCGATTCTGTCGCTCGACACTGGTTAGAAGCTTAGGCTCCCGTGGATCGGTTTTGCGTCTCACCAAGTCGAGAGTACAGCATGTAGAGCGCCATGCGGTTGCACTCCTCCGTTCCCGTAATCGTCACTAGCCGTTCGTTGCTGTTGTCCTGAGGCTCGTTAATCTTAATCACGCTGCCGCTCATCTGCCGTATCTCGTTGATCTTTTGTCCGCCCTTGCCGATGATGGCGCCGACCATGTCGTTAGGGATGTAGATTTGCTGCGTGATGGGGCCGCCGGGCATGCCGGCATGCATGGGCTGGCCCTGGGGGGCACCGTGCGCCTGAGGGCCGGTATGAGGTGCCATGTGAGGCTGCACGTGGGGCGCGGCCGCTCCATAGGCGGCAGGCTGGCCCGCTCCGTACTGCATGGGCATCGCCGGAGTGCCGTGGGGGGCGCCGTGTGCGTAGGGCTGAGGGTACGGCGCCGGAGGCATGTGGTGAGGTCGGCGCTCCTGGTGCCGGCCGTAGTT